CCCTGTGCTATACAGTGTAATCTTGTTTATCTATTCTACAATTTTGAAATCCCAATCTATCCCTTCCCACCCTCTACCCCCCTGGTAACCACAAGTCTGTATTCTCTGTCTGTGAGTCTATTTCTGTCCTGTATTTATGCTTTATTTTTATTTGTTTGTTTTTGGTTTTGTTTTTTAGATTCCACATATGAGCGATCTCATATGGTATTTTTCTTTCTCTTTCTGGCTTACAGGGAGGAGCTTCTTGAAGGAGGGAGAAGGTCAACACTGTGTGATGTGACTGAAGATCGAGTTAGAACAGGACTGGAAAGAGATCACTGGCTGCCCAGTGTATCAGGGATGGCTTCTGCACAGGATGAGAGTGGGAGCCTGAGAACACTGGATTAGGGATGGCAGGGCATGGAGGAAGTGGAGGCTGGGTGTTCAGGGGAAGGGGAGAGATGAGGAGCTTGAGAATGAAGGGGAAGGCTTTCTTTTCTGATGAGACCAAATTGAGCAGATTTCTAGGAAGAAGTGAGGAGGCAGGGGATGGACAGTGCTGGTCAGGATTGTATATGAAACATTTCTTGAGGAAAGATCTTGAATAAAAACTTGAATGAAATTTCTGTTTCAGATACCTCTTCTGCCTTTTTCATCCCACAGCCCAGAAAAATATTTGGCGCATTAACAGATTTTGGGTTTCAGAGGGCTTCGGTTTTATTGTGCTTGAGATTTGTTCCCTGGTGAAACATGAAGAGATAAAACTGTACGCAAAAAAAGAGAATCATAGTTGATGAAAAATCAGCCTTCAGTAATTGCTTTTAAATCTTTTACCCATTGCTAGTATGGGTGTTTGAATTACATTTGGAACATATTCCAAGGCTACTTACCCGTGGAAGGATTAATGATATTGGAGCTGGGTTCAAAGTCTCAGCAACAAGCCAAAACCTGTTCTTTTCAGCAGTCAGGGTAAAGTTTAATATCCCTTCTTCAGAAACCTTTCACATGTTAGTCTTTCCATTACTAAGCTGCTGGAAAAGGAAAATGCCAGAAGTTTAGCTCTTATAGCAGTTATCTTATGCAAATTACTTAACTTTTGTTAGCCTAGGTTTCATATTTGTAAAGTGAAGGTAATACCTACCTCATAGGGTTGTTGTGAGGATTAAATGGGCTAATTAAAACAGTTGCTGTCAGACAGTAAGCACTCAGTTAAGTGTGAGCTAGCCTTATAATTGTAGTAATAGTAGTTATAGCAGTAGGCTTCTCCAGGTTATAAGGATTATGGATATTCAATTACCTCTGGTAATGGTGAATTACCAGGTTGTCTCTGTTAATGGGGGATTATTTTAAGAATTCAACACAACGTAAGGAGAACAGGAAACTACTTAGCCAGCACATTAGGTCTGCTGATGCAAGGGAGATTTTTTTTTCCCTTGCCAATACTTACAAATTACAGATTTCGTATGAAAATCCAGATTTCCAGTAATAATAGTCACGTACTCTTACATGGCAATGATGGCCTGGAGCTAAGTAGTCCCTCATTTCTCCAGATGGATCTGTAATCTCAGGTTTGCCAAGGTTGGTATCAATCTCTACTATTAGTTATGGGCCCAGGGCCTCCATGTAAGGCTGTTCAGGTTGCTCACTGCACAAAATACCCAGCTATGGAGCCAAATAGAGACTGAATTCCTACAGCCTGCCAATGGCATTTCTTACAGCCTGACAGATTTAGGACTCAGGGTGTTCCTCTTTTCTCTACCTGTTCCTCCTTCCTCCTCTGCTAACACTGTTGACATCTTTCCATTTCCATGGCTTCTGCTCACTTGTAGCTTCTACTGCTTTACAGATTCTGCTTACTGCCTCCTCTCTGTGTGTCTTTACCAGGTTTAGCAAGGTCAATTTGCTCAAGATCACGTAGGTAGGTGATGAAGCAGGATTTGAACCAAGATTATCACTCCTTGGAAAATGATTACTGGATATAAGTTAGCATGAGGATATTGAAGGTAAATTTCTTATTAGATTTTTTTTAAATTTCTATGTAGATTTCCTTGCCCAAATTAGGACAAGTTTTATTGTTAACGTCTACTCCTAGCCAACCTGCATTTAAACCAACTTGTTATTTCCTAATCTAAGGAAAACTAGAAAATGGGCAAAATTGGTCCTAGGGTGTCCCAAAGCATAGTGTTCTTTGTTCTGTCCTTCAGAGACTAGCCTTGAAAACCTGATTTTACCTTCTTTACTCTCCATCTGTCCTGGAAAAAGGCTGGACCCCCATTCCCACCATTGCTTTTGGGGACTTGTTATCTTCCTCAGTCACCTAGTTCCCCATGGCATGGTCAGGGCTCCATTTCCTCAGTGTTCCTGTATGAAAGTAGTGGAAAGATATTAAGCTGATAAAGTGAGTGACCTGACATCACAGTATTATATATTATTCTCTCAAGTGACTAATCAATTCAACCCAATGAAACACTTCCTAGAATGCTTTAGAGTGGTAGAAATTACAAGCATAGCCAATTACAGTTGGTCAGGGATTTTTGCCCCCTCTAAATTATAACACACAGGTTTCTGCCCATTGTGCCTGCTTAAAGCAACGTTCTTTAGAAGAAAAATACCACAGTCTGCTTTCTAGAGCATTGAGAAAACTTGAGTTCTTGTTCCGGCTTTGCCACTTGCAAGGCTTGTTAGCTTGAGGCTGTCCATGGCTTAACCTGTTTGTTGACTTGTCCCTTAACCTCCCTAAGTGTTGTTGACTGGTCTTGCCTATATCATAGGCAGTGAGTCTCTGGACAGGGAAGGTGAGCCTTCAGAAGGCTCTAAAAGTTGTGCCAAAATAAGATACTAGCAAAGCTGAAGACATGTTCAGCTGCTTTCTTGCAGGAACACTTTGCCCTTGACCAAAAGTGATGCCACAGAGTGGGCTGTATGAATTCAGTTTCGTCCCTACCACATGGCCACTCTGCTATGTGAGATGGCTTCATGTCAGAAATTTGTTTTAGATTTTTTTATTTCTAAAATCTCACTCATGTTCATTGCTGTGTATTAACTTCACCCTAGTGTGTTTTGTGCACAGACGTCTGGTACAAAGGTATTTGAACACTTTCAGGAATTATAACTACACACTCGAGCTTTAAGCAAAGAGGGTGGGTGCGGCCAAGATTTTGAGATGTGTTCAAATGCAAGAGGCTTTTAAAATACAAAGTGTTCTAGAACTGTAAGAAGTTAAGGCTAAGAATTATTCCCTTGTTGAAGGTCAAAAGTAAAGCTATTTTCTGGAAAGTGCTTTTCCTTGTGTGTTTAATAGTTGAGAATTGCATAGGAGAGCAGTTTAATAGGAACCATGATATAAACAGTAAGATACTTCTTAATGTAATAGCCAGACCCAGAGCAGAATTTGCAAGCCCTTGGTAGGCAGATGGGTGGCTGAAGAAGAATTTGGTTGGCAAGATCTCACTGAGAGATGCACTTCCATTCCATGATTTGGTATGGATTAAAATTTCTGAACAAGACCATGCTTCTAAACATTCATGGTCTCTGCAAAAAATATGAGACCAGAAAATGAAAAATTCCCAACTCTTATTATTTGGTTATTGGCCAGTATTCTGGCTTAGCTGAGTGCATGCCTTCTAAAGCAAACCCTAAATTATTCAGCATTTGCAGTGTAGTCCATCCTACTTACATGAGCCATATTACTTTTCTATAATTTTTTCCCTGCAAAAAAAAAAATCCTCCCTTTCCATCTTTCCTCCTTTCTCTTTTTTAAATTTTGTAATCTGAAGTAACCTGAACCAGTTTAGAGGTGAGGAGAAAAATATTTACTTAGGTTATCCTGGGAACCTTGACCTTACTGCCTTAGGGATAAATCATTCCCCTCCTGAGGGAAGTGGGAAATTACAAACTGGGTCACAGACACACATTCTTCTCCTAGTTCCATCTGAGTGAGCACCAAGTATGTATTGTTACCTGAGATTTCAAGGTTGGTTTAATAATGAGCTAGGTTTCTTGGTCAGGTTTCCCATTGGCTTTGAGTTCATAAGGCAGTCATTGCCTGTCCTCAAAGTGTGCTTAGGTGGATGGCACCTGAACCCCTGAGGCTGTTGAAAGTGCAGGTTCTGGCCATGCTTAGACCTATGAATCAGACTCTCTGGAGGTGGGGCCCAGACATCTGCATGGTTGACCAGCTTCCTAGCTGATTCTTAGGTACACGTAAGTTTGAGGCTCTCTGCTGGAAGGAAAAGGCTTCCAGGACAGAGGCAGCAGAGGAGGTGTTCAAAGTTGGATCAAATTAGTCTTATTGTTATTGTATTAACTTGAATATCAGGAGCTTTCATATTAAAGTTTTCTAAAAAAGAAAAAAAATCAATACATAAAAGGAAAGATTGTCATATATGCACCCATTATAAGTATTTTGCATAATTTTCTAGAGGTCTAAACAGAATGTCTTTAGGTCATCCTTATAATTATTTTGAGACTCTTTCAACTGTTTTGATTTTAAGATGAGTAATAAGAATCATTAATTAATGGAGAAAGAAAGAAATTTCTTTACATGCAAACCTTACTTTTGACTTTTGTCTCTTTTTTTAAACATTTTTTATTGAGTTATAGTCATTTTACAATGTTGTGGCAAATTCCAGTGTAGAGCACAATTTTCAATTATACATGAACATACACATATATTCATCGTCACATTTTTTTTCACTGTGAGCTGC